AAAAAAAGAAAAGAAAAACAAGACAAAACAAATGCTGACTGAAAGAATTAGTAGTACTGTACCAGCCTCCACACCACATAGACATGTAAAATGCAGACGTGAGCTCAACATTGTACATTAACATTAATTTTCTCTCTTCTAAATAATGACTTACATTTTCTCCACTAGTCTAGCCTAGTAACTTTAGAAAGATTTTATGTTTAACTCAGGTAGTACAGCAAGAAAGATGGAGCGTGGAGAAAGAAAACCAGATGAAATATTAACCGGGCGCAATGGCTTGCGCCTGTAATCCCAGTACTTTGGGAGGCCGAGGCGGGAGGATCATTTGAGCTCAAGGATTCCAGACCAGCCTGGGCAACATATTGAGATCCTGTCTCTATTTAAAAAAGAAAGAAAGAAAAAGAAATATTAGAGCAGGTTCTCATTATTTTTATCTAGGAAAAGAAACAATTTTTGATAAAGACTTCACATCAGATCTATGCATTACTGGAAATGAGTAGTGGGTTGAGAGACAGATTCTGTACTTAAAATGTCAAACCTGCAAAGTAGATAAATAATTATCCTCATTTTACAGATAAGGAAGCTGAGGCTCTGAACGGTTATTGACTTTTCCAAGGCCACAGAACTAACAAACAACGAAGCCAAAAGGTCTGCCGTTCCACATCGTCCCCAAGAGTTCCCCACGTATGCGACTCACCACCAAACGCCGACCAGACGCTTCTATCCTGCTGAAATTTCAGACCAACCTACTCACCATGCGCATGCTCACTTTCAACACGAAAAAGCTATTGAGAACTAATGCGCATGTTCCATAAAAGGAGAGTTTTGTTGTGTATTTTTTTTTCCTATTCAGAAAGATTAATTACGCATGTTCAATTTCAATTTACGAACTTCAGATGTGGTACGCATGCTCACTGTTCACCGAAAGCTTTAGCTGACAATGCGCACGCTCTGGTCTTCAAGAGCGGCTTCGGCTCGCGTTTTGCGCATGTTTCTGCTAGCACCTGGATGCTGGCGATAGTTCTGCGCATGTCCACTGCCCACAGTTTGGCTTCACAAGACCATATACGCATGCTCCTGCGCTGAACTTTAGGAGCCAGCCTAGGGCCTAGGCGCAGACGCACTGAGCCTAAGCAGCCGGTGATGGCGGCAGCGGCAGTGGTGGCTGCGGCGGGTCCGGGCCCATGAGGCGACGAAGGAGGCGGGACGGCTTTTACCCAGCGCCGGACTTCCGAGACAGGGAAGCTGAGGACATGGCAGGAGTGTTTGACATAGACCTGGACCAGCCGGAGGACGCGGGCTCTGAGGATGAGCTGGAGGAGGGGGTGAGGCCCGGGGTCCCCGGGGGCCCGAGGTGACAGGGCCGGGGCGGCGGCGCGGGGGCAGGAAGCGCGGTGTGTCCTAAAGCGTGGAGACCCGGGGGGGCTCCTGGAAGAGTTGAGGGTCGCGTGGCCCGAGACTGAGGAGCGGGCGGGACAGACACGGCCCTAGGTGTGAGGCCTTTGCAGGAATCGCAAGTGCAGGTCGCACCCTTAGCTCCAGGTCAGAGCAGCCCTTAGCAATCTGAAGGGGGAAAGAGAACGGGCGCGTGGTCGATTCCTCGAGCTGCTGGACTTGAGTGTGGCGGGGCGCGAGTGGCGTGAGCGTGTGTTGGGGATACTGGGGCTGCGCTTGCTGGGTGTCCCGTAAGTACAGGTGAAGTGTGGAGGGTTTCCCTTCGAGTCTAGGATTTCGAGTATTAGATCTTCAGACCTCCCACAACCACCTCTCTTCTCGGCCTGTCGCTTCTCTCCTAGGAAGCGCTCAGCTGTTAGAAGTGACAGCTGAAAACTTCTGTCGGGAGTAGCACTGCCGCTGCTGTTACAGCCACCAGGAGTTTTATTTCGGGAGCAAGGGGGCTCTGCTGCATCTTCCAATCTTCCAGGGTTTGTTTGTTTGCTTTTTTTTTTTTTTAACCCCCTTCCGTGTGACTCTTTAAAATAAGCATTTATAGGACACACGGCACTTGTAACCTTTCCCCAATTTGAAGATGTCTTTTTTTTTTTCAGAATAATTAATGTAATTTTCGGGTGGGGGGAAAAAAAAACAAAACCAATGTTGACAGCCTTGATTTAGCTTGCCAAAAATAAGTTGCCTGAACAGAGACTTGTGAATGGTGGTGTGAGGGCTTTCCTTACTGTAATTTAGTGTGCTAAATTTAGAATTGTATTTTCTAATGCATACCTTGGTTTTACCTTGGCTGGCTTAGTGGTTTGTTATTCTTTATGGAATATCTTTTTTTCCTGAGGTAAATTTATCAAAAAATGACAAACTGTACCTGAAGTTCAAAAACGTTGTCATACTAAACCACTGATTCCGGACCAAATGATCATCAGTTGATAACCTCTTAGTAGTTTAGGATCTAAATTCCAATGTCTAGTTGAATACATGGGTTAATGACTGGTGTTAGATGTTTACTCTAACTACATAGGGGCTTCCTTTCCCTTGCCTCACCCTCAGTTTTTCTCCTCTGGCACCTGCCCTACTGTTGACAAAAGATTGAGATGGTATGTATAAAGAACCTTGAACAGATTAAGAAACTAAGTGGCCTTAAATAATGCTGTTCTTTTCTTTCTTTTCTTTTCTTGTCTCCCTCTGATAGCCCAGGCTGGACTGCAGTGGTACGATCTTGGCTCACTGCAGCTTCCGCCTCCCAGGTTCAAGTGATTCTCTTGCCTCAGCCTCCCAGAGAAGCTGGAATTACAGGGCTGGGCCACATCACCTTGCTAATTTTTTTGTATTTTAGTAGAGATGGGGTTTCACCATGTTGCCCAGGCTGGTCTTGAACTCCTGAGGTCAGGTGATCCACCCGCCTCAGTCTCCCAAAGTGCTGGGATTACAGGGGTGAGCCACCCCACCACGCCTTTTTTTTTTTTTTTTTTTTTTTTTTTTTTTTTTTTTTTTTTTTTTTTTTTTTTTTTTTTTTTTTTTTTTTTTTTTTTTTTTTGTGATGGAGTCCCACTCTAGCCCAAGCTGGAGTGCAGTGGCCCAATCTCGGCTCACACAACTTCCACCTCCGGAGCTGAAGCAATTCTCGTGCCTCAGCCTCCTGAGTAGTTGGGACAGGCACATGCCACCACGCCTGGCTAATTTTTGTATTTTAGTAGAGATGGAGTTTTACCATGTTGCCCAGGGTGACCTTGAACTCTTGAGCTACTGTGATCTGCCCGCCTTGGCCTCCCAAAGTGCTGGGATTACAGGAGTGAGCCACCGTGCCCGGCTGGTGTGTGCATTGGTGTGTGCATTTTCAATGATGTTTTCATAAGGAATTCCAAATAGTTTCTTTATTGAACATAGTGATACACTACATACAATTGGAAACAAACATGAGTTTACTTTTATTACATGTACTATACTCCATACTCTCATCAGTTATATTGGTTCTCTGTGGCAGTGGCTTTGGAGCAGGGCAGGGAAGAAAACTGGTTAGGAAGGTGCTTTTCTTTTTTTTGAGGCAGAGTCTCGCTCTGTCACCCAGGCTGGAGTGCAGTGGCACAATCTTGGCTCACTGCAACCTCTGCCTTCCGGGTTCAAGTGATTCTTCTGCCTCAGTCTCCCGAGTAGCTGGGACTACAGGCATGTGCCACCACGCCCGGCTGATTTTTATATTATTAGTGGAGATGGGTTTCACCATATGGGACAGGCTGGTCTCAAACTCCTGACCTCAGGTGATCCGCCCGCCTTGGTCTCCCAAAGTGCTGGGATTACAGGTATGAGCCACGCACCCAGCCAGATTTATTCTTTTTTGAAAGTACAATGCTGTATTCAAATTCCTGTATGAACTGGGACTTTTTCTTTTCACTTTCTTGTTGTGTTTCAAGAACAATAGGTGTTCCAGGGCTTTTGTCCTGCTGGGTACAAGCAAGTAGGATTTTGAGAGGGTGTAAGGAGGTCAGCAAAATTGGTGGAAATAGGAAAAAAAAGAAATGTGGTCTGACCTTGGGGAGAGAAAGTTTAGGGAAAGAGCAAAGGTAATTAAAGAGGATTTTGAGGAAGAGACTTCTGTAAAATATGTCTTACTTAGCACCCTTAGCACCAGTTTTTGGAGTTGAAAATGTTTCTTTTTAGTGTGTTATTTATTCTTTTTTTTTTTGAGACGGAGTTTCGCTCTTGTTACCCAGGCTGGAGTGCAATGGCGCGATCTCGGCTCACCGCAGCCTCTTGCCTCCTAGGTTCGAGCAATTCTCCTGCCTCAGCCTCCTGAGTAGCTGGGACTACAGGCGCTCACCACCATGCCCAGCTAATTTTTGTATTTTTAGTAGAGTTGGGGTTTCACCATGTTGACCAGGATGGTCTCGACCTCTTGACCTCGTGATCCACCCGCCTCGGCCTCCCAAAGTACTGGATTATAGGCGTGAGCCACTGTGCCAGGCCATGTGTTATTTATTCTAAGAGGTGCCTCAAGGTGGATAATGGAAGATTTGGAGTGGGGTTGGGTTGGCAATCCAAGGAGATTGGGTGACCTCCAGATTACCCCTAAATTACAAAAAAAAAAATCTAGAAAATGAGAGTTTAGATTCTTAGAAAATCTCACAGTTTCTATTCATGAAATTATAGCCTTTATTTATTACACAAAGTTTTTAAACATTGGTACCTATCAGAGTAGTCTTACTTCCTAATTTTATAGTAAGGAAACTGAGGCATGGGCCAGATGATAGCCAAAGGTCACACAGTGGTAGTGTCTTCTGACTCAGTTCAGCAAGCTTCACTGCACAAGTTCTTCAATGCATTTACTAGGCATGTTTATAATGTTCCTCTTTGTGGTGTGTCAAAAGTGAATTCAGATTCCTTTGGCCATACTCTGTGACCTAGAGTAAATTCCTTAATCTCTGACATTGTCTATTACATGAGGGTTACATGAAATAAGTATATAAAGTACAATACTCTCAAAATATCTGGGCGTATTAAGCAATTAGCTAGTTCACAGAAATACAGCTTGTCATTGCCAAGGAACCAATCATTCAGGTTTACCCTCATATGCCTAGAGACTTAATAATTGCAGTTAAACTAGAGGTGCTGTATTTTTACAATGGTAGTATCATGGTGTGTATTTTTTTTTTAAATCATTGATCCCATTTAGAGAGATGTGCCTTTCAAGGTATATTACAGAGTGACTATGCATTAGTAAATATAGGTATTTACATAGTTTATTTAGTTCATCAGAGATTAAAAGATGAGGAGACTAAACGGATACATTTATGGACAAAGTTGAATGTCTGCCACCTAACTTTAAAAAGATCCTATCGGGCCGGGTGTGGTGGCTCAAACCTGTAATCCAGGCACTTTGGAGGCCAAGGCAGGTGGATCACCTGAGGTTGGGAGTTCAAGACCAGCCTGACCAACATGGTGAAACCTCATCTTATAAAATAAAAAATAAAATAATAAATAAATAAAATTAAAAAAAAAAAGATCCTTAAATATCTCAGAGGAATATAATCAAAGCCAGTTGGTAAGAGGGGAGTTTTTTGGGGGAGGATATCTTGTTTGTTTGTTTTGTTTCATTGTTGATGGTATCATTTGGGGCAGTGAATTGAAACTAAGGGAAAGTTTTCCTTCAGAGAATTTAATTAGATTGCGAAAATACTGGAGTCTTCTCTGCTGTCTCTAGCATTAAGAGTAATAGAAAACTGGCTGGGCGCCGCGGCTCACGCCTGTAATCCCAGCACTTTGGGAGGCCGAGGTGGGTGGATCACGAGGTCAAGAGATCAAGACCATCCTGGCCAACATGGTGACACCCTGTCTCTACTAAAAATACAAAAATTAGCTGGACGTGGTCCCAGCTACTCGGGAGGCTGACGCGGAAGAATCACTTGAACCCAGGAGGCGGAGGTTGCAGTGAGCCGAGATTGCGCCCCTGCACTCCAGCCTGGTGACAGAGCAAGACTCCATCTCAAAAAAAAAGAGTAA